TGATCTCTCCATCTGGCCCTTTCGTGTCCGCGTCAGCTACAATTACAATTGCGTAGTTCAGCCTAAGGCCCGGTTCCGCTCCCTCCAACCCTCGACTCCCCCAGACTTGGACTTGATCTCTCTACCTCCATCAACTGCTATTTTTCTCCAGTCTCCAAATCTCCGTTATATCTCGATCTATCTCCCCTTGGTAAGTCTCTTTTCACCGTTTACTCCGACCCGCAGCAAGCCACTTCCAACGGTTCGACGTATGTGGCGGATCCATTAAAGCTGCTGGCTTCCCTGTCGTTACCATCTACCAGCAACCGGATTTTCTTGCTTCTCCCCTACACACCCGAAGAAGACTATAACATACACCACCCTACGTAACCAGAAACCCTTTTTTTTTTACCTGATCCGATTTCCCTTTCCCTTTGCCACGCGCGGAAAAAGAAACAAAGCGAACCAGGGAACCTCTCTCGGAGGTATGCCAGGTATCGCCATTTCGCCGTCTGACCCTCGCCTTCAGCCCTGTCTCTGATTCTTCTTCTTTCTCTCGCTCTCTTCCATCTTCTTCACCTTTCTTCCTGTACCCCCTGTGTGAATATATAATACGTTTATATATTTATATATATCTGGATGGTGGGAGACCCACCTTCTCCTGGTGGATACAGAGCATCTTTCCACGCTCCTGGGAAAGAAAATTAAGGGCAAAAAAGGGAAAAAGGAAAGAAGAAAAAAAGAAAAGAAAAAGAAAAAAAGGCTAAAAAAAAAGATAGAGAGAGAAGGCTAAAAAAGACCCTAGGGATTTCGCCCACAAAAATTATCCCAAAAGAATCCACCATCCGGCATAGCATCATCACTCTTCTTCAAGCCTAAAAAAAACTTACCTCCTCTCCAGTTTTTTCCCTTTTGTTCCTGAACGCCCTTACTTACTTCTACCCCTCCTGGACCCTCTCGCGGTCTCCATCCCGACTTTTTTTTTCTTCTTTTCTTCTTCTTCCTTTCTTTTCATTCCTTCGAGAATCTCCCTTTACCACTACTCAACCCTCTCGTTTTCCCGTTGTGGATACATACAAGACTCGCATCTGCAACAGGGCATTCACTCATCATTCTTTCTGATAGCTCGCACTCCACTATCAATCGACAACAGCAACCACCATCATCAGAAACATCTTCAACTTATATTTTTTCTTACTTGGTGTCAAGGGCTGCCGCTTCTTGCCTGTCTTTATACTGTCCTTACAGGTTGGTCTGACCATCGTATCGAGAAGGGTGCCAGCATCGTCAAGCTGAGAGCCATCCATCGACTTGATAATATACATATTAATATAAAAGGAAAGGAGTAAGGGTCGGCTAACGCGCGCTTCAGGGGTCTCACTTCTAGGATTTCCAATTCTGCCAGTCGATATTGACACCGCCTTTTTCTCTCCCTCGTTTTTCTCACCAGAAAAATCGATCAATGATTGCTGAGATATAAGCAACTCCTATAAACCTGTTACTGCTCCTATAACCAACCACCATCACGCTTGTCATGGATCAAAATATCAGAACGCAAGTCTCGCGGCCTGCATCAGCCTCGATTCCTCCACAAGGCCCTCCGCCGTTGTCACATCTTCACCAATATCAAGTTCACTCCCCGTATCAGGTCCCGCAGCCACACACTCTCCCTCCACTCCAACATCCTCAGAGCCACTCTCCAATGCCATCGTATCTTGGCCAGCCATTCCGAAATGATATGCCCAGATATCCCGTCACTTCAGCTCATGACGTCTATGCAGCTTCGACCGCGCCAATGGCTTCGCACGCCCCGGTGAACAGTCTGCCACCCGCCTCGTTCTTGGGTCAGCACCAGCAACAGCAACAGTTTCCTTCACACGGCCTACTGCCCCCAACAACGGGCCCTCAGGCCTACCCTCAACCAATTGCACCTGCTCCACCTCGTGATAGACGTCATGAGTACGGCATGCCCGGTGGTCCGTTCACCGGAGCAGAGGACAAGGGCCCAATGTGGACCACCGCCGATGGAATGGCGGCGTCTACCGCTGCATTTGCACCCAAGGACCCTCCACGTACCCAAGTTGTTGGCTCCCAGGGCCGCCGGGGTATCCTGCCCAGCGTTCCCGGACGAGCTGCCGTCACCAATGGTGTAAATGGTACTGCCAAAGGAACCGCGATCCCAGCCAAGGACGCGGATGGCAAATTTCCTTGCCCGCACTGTAACAAGACATACCTCCATGCAAAACATCTCAAGCGACATCTGTTGCGCCGTAAGTTAATAAACATAAAAACCACCCTTTCCAGTCCAACCTAGTGCTATTTTTATTACCGTGCTTCCAATCACTCGTTTTCATCAAAATTTTAAAGCTAACCAGATCTACAGATACTGGTGACCGTCCTTACATGTGTGTTCTTTGCAAAGATACATTCTCTCGAAGCGACATTCTTAAGCGTCATTTCCAGAAATGCTCTCTAAGACGAGGCAATCCGACCGGAATCAGCCATTTGTCTCACCCTCATGCTCATCTTAAAAAGGCTCAGGCAGCGGGAGTTGTGCCTAAACCGGTTCAGGGTGATGTTAGTAACCCCATCTCACTTCCCAATGGTATTGGCAGTACTACGTTTGGTGAAGCGCCCGTGAACGGGCATGGGGTTACAATGGCTCCTGGCCATCAACCCCGCTTCGCAGAACATCAGCCATTCGGTTATCCCATGCCCTCTCATGCGTCAGCGGTACAGGGTGGTAGTGGCGGCCTCGCTCGTGGTCCCTCGGACCAGCAAGTCGCCAATGCTGCTGCCCAGTACCCTCCGCATCAGCAGCAGCATCAGAAAACCTGGGTGGCTGATCCCAAACACAACTCTTCGTCGTTCCTTATGCAGTCTGGAACTGACTCTGTTGGCCAGCCGACCAGTATTGCTCTTCCTCCGATCGATGCTAAGATTCCTTCCGATAACAAACAGGCTCCTCCCCAACATCAACCCCCACAACACCCACAACATCCACAGCAGCAGAACATTGACTGGGCTACGGTCCTGCAGCCGGGTTCGCATGAAAATTATATGCCCGCACCGGTTTATCCTACATCTATGACACCAGTCAATGACGCAATGCATGCGCATGTCGATGCCGATCGCAAGTACTATCCTGCCACCACAGCTGGGCAGCAGGAGAACGGAGGTTTGAATGGTCTCTACCTTGCCTCCACCAGCTTAAGCGGAGATGGTGTGTATCACCCCCCAGAAATCAGCTGACATTTAACCCGCACAGCCGTACTAACCTAAATCAATAGGAACCGTTCAGCCAGCTAGACAATAACCGATGATGAAAGCGGTGTTTTGACCACCGCCAATCCCTCTCACTTCTTTACCTGAAAGTTATGTGACGGCCGATTTGTGAACGAGTTTTCCTTTAATCTTTCATAACTTTTCGTTTCCTTTTCACCTCAATCTTATTCCTTAATTTTTTTTTCCCCGTCTCCTACGGTGGTTGAGCGCCCGTGCGGGGCACGGTTCAGATGCTCGACAAGAAAGAAAAAAAAACATCGCCATCAAAATTGAAGCAAATGGAAACCAGCATTATAGACTCGGGTGGAGCATTTATTTTATTTCCTCTTTTCTTACTTTCCTTTTTTTCCCCTCTCTATGGGTTTGTGTTTTGCAAAGGTTTTTGCTTTCGTTTTATTGTCAATCAGGGGGGGAGTTTTTCTCGTTCGTTTTCTACTCATAACTCTCTCCCCATTTTGTTATACCTGCTGCATTCATCGGTGAGATCATTAGACGAGGAGTATCCTTTTACCCTTTTTCCATTTTCCAACACTGTCGTTTTGGTTTGTATTGTTCCCTATTTTCCTTCGTTTGGAAAACATGTCTTAATACGTGCTTTTTTAACCCGATCTGTACCCTTTTTTTTTTTACTTTCATTTCTTTTCCTTACGGAGAAAAAAAAAGGGCGGGAGAGAAAAGAAAAGCTCATTTCATCGGTGGAAAGCACTGTTTGGCATAGAAACGAAAAGTTTCTTTCGTTCAGGGGATAATGCAAGTCGCGTTTGTCTGTTTACTTGACCAGGTTGCCAGAGTTCGTTGTTTTTGTTCTGCTGCTGTCTTTCTTTAATTCGATCGTTACATACACGGTGGGCGGCTTGCGATCGATACGTTTTTACACTTGGGGATTTTTGGCTCATGGAGAGAGAAAAGAAAGAAAACCATCACCTGTTATATCATAATATGTCCAATTTATTGCTGCAAGACGTTCGTGGTTAGCTGTTTTTTCGACACTTTCTCCCCCTTGGGCTTGAAACGCCTGCTGGTTTTTCCCTTTTTCCTTATTTTTCCTTGATAAATTGTCAACCGCGGTTTTCTTGCATGCTCGGTTTGCTCTTCCGGTGATTATGCATCTGGATTTTTCTCATACGGCACGGTCACTATCTAGACTCCAGCGGTTCAATGGGCCCGATATCCTGGACAAAATACCATCTGCCGCTGCTAAACCATACACTTAAAGGTGGGAGAAGGGAAAGGAAGAGGGTGCTGAAGAGATGACGGGACGTTCCCAAGAGACTATAAGCGGACAAGGGGCATTGGAGCAGCCTCTTATTTTCATTGATTGCTTCTCGGAATCTTCAAAGTACATACCTGTTTTTATTTTGGATGCAACTTCACGTTTGCTGGCTTGTTAGCTTCTACTTCCGTTTCTCGATGCGATGCAATTGCAGCTGCAAAATTGTAACTATTTGAGATGGCCTTTGATCGTTGTTTGCTTCGCGTCCTTGTTCGGCCTCCGTTTGATTTTTGTCTGACATTTGGCTTCGACTAACTACCCAATTTGTGTGCGTTTGAGTTAACTTATAGACAGACAGAAATGAAAGTGATTTTTTTTTTTGAAAAAACAAATGAAGGGAAGAAAGAAACCCATGTTTATCTGCCTACTTTAACTCCTCATCTGCTTTTGTGTTTGGTTCTCATTGCTCGTCGTGGATTTGATGTTTGATATCAAACGCGCAGAGTCATGTGACCATGCGCTTACTTAATCACTACAAAACCTCTTTCCATGGAAGAAAACGGAAGTTTAAGCAGTCGAACGTCGCTTTGATTGAATTCCTTGTCTCTATCGACGTCGCCGACACTCACTATCCATAACACAATGGTAAGCCGGTCAATTACCCTCTATCACAGTTCATAACCTGCCTGCAGCCCGATATAGCCTCAGCAGGCTGTTGCCTATCGATCAATTCGTGTCCGTCATATCGTCAACATCCCCTGCACTTTTGCCCGCCGTTCAGATATCGAGTATTATTCAATTATTCATTCTATCCCGTATAACTAACATGGCTAATCAGGCATCTCGATCGTCTCGCGCGGCCTCAGCGCCATTCGGCTCCTACCGATCTCCATATGCGCCCAAGTGAGTCGCTAGACAATACCACAACCACGGCTCCAACTTGTACTTCGACTAGTTAGAATAAAAGGATATAACGACTAACTCGGCCGACTTTTCTTTTGTCTTGTGACTAGATATACTGTGCCATTCAAAGTTGCCGGAGTCAGCGTTACCCAGGGCATGAGATTGTAAGTCAAGTGACGCCCATATCACGGATACCGGCTTCGATGAACGAGCATGGGAATGACATATATCGGCTGCCGCCGTTGGGTTTTATTTGCTAATATATGGTCATAGTATGCCGATGGCTGCCACTTTCGGCGCTGCTACTGGCATCTTCGCCGTTTTCTTCCTTGGAGATACCCCACGTATCCGAGAGGATATCCTTATGAACATCCCTCTTATCGGAAGCTACTGGGAGAGATCTATTGCGCCCGAGGACAACGTATGTTTGGACTACTTTTATTACCCACTTTTGCTTTTCTATATTATGACCTTTCTCCCGATTGTTAGCTAACGACTTGGTGGGTAATAGCCATTCTAAAAGTCCTACATATGGTCGGAAGGGCGAGCAGTTGTTGTGGCAGTTGAAGATAGAGCGAGCGTGATTTTGTATATTTACAGTCTCTTAGTTTAAAAGACGGGGTTTACGACGTTGAGGTGTATAGAATTGTATTCCGCTTTTGTTCACATTTCAGTCGCATATAATGTAACGCTTGTTATTGGCTGCTACAAGGGTTGGCGTTTATCTCTAGCCTACCGTTGCAGTAAGGACATACTTACGTTTAGACACTTGGAACATGCAGTGTAGGTGCTTAATACTCTACTCGATGCCTTATTGATCTTCTTAATACAGTGGTGCTTATGGCCTATTACTCCACGTATGGTACCTGGCACTCCCTCTCCAGTCTCGTCATATCACGTGATACATATCTCCATAGATCGAATATCAAAAGGGCAAAAGGAGTTACTGACATCACTTTGCAAGGACTTGAGATGATGCTCGCGTCTCAACGACTTTTTTTCGGAGAGTAGTCTATAGTCCTTAATATTACCTTATCGGCATACCATATCGTACCGGCCAAGAGTATATCGGTCTTCCCACTTCACCCCATACAGAGGAACCTAAGCGGGAAATCCGTCACAACCATATATATTCGGGCTGGGGAGCCAGTTATGGCTGCAGCCTCACAAACCATCCGGCAGCAGATATGGGAAGGCCGTCTTCCACTACAGATAAACTTGTCCAGGGCGGAGTGTAGGGTATTCGACAAGGCTGAACCTTACATTGTAAATACTTATTCTTCCCGATTCTTGTCTTGTGTATTTCATGTTGCTGATAGAAACCATAGATATCATTCCCCCGTCTATCGTATCTGCCATTTTTATTACCTAGGCTGCTTGATTTTTTCAAGTCTTATCTTATTGAATCCGAGCCCGTATACCCATATCAAGGCTGGTTCTCGTTTGAAGGAGTTCCGCTAAAATGGCATTACCCTGTTGGTTTGCTCTATGATCTATACACCGGTGCGGGTCCATCGGCATCGATATACTCGGCAAAAGGGCAGGATGACGACAGAGACCTAAACCATTTATCTCAAGGAATCCTGCCATGGAAACTAACACTGCATTTTCAGAACTGGCCGGACCAGGAACTTGTTAGCCTTGATGCTGAGGAGAGGGTTATGCATGATTTCTTCATGAATAGTGTCAAGGAGGCGGATTTTGTCCGCAATGGCACTGGAAAGAGTATTATGGCTCTTTCTAGAGAGGATTCCAGGAAGTTATGGGCATCCATACAAGAACGTACGTATCTCCTCTGTTTACCTTAGGTGTCGTTCCGGCGACCGGTCAGATATCTAAAATTATATCATAGACTCCTTCCAAACCTTCCACCGCGTCAACAGTACACTTTTACCAAACCTGTCAACTCCATTCCGCAATGTACCATTACGAGTCTACCTCCCCACGGCTTCAGGGCTTGAGAAGCCGTCAATAAAGGTTGTGCAATCTCAATTTCCACCGAAAATCCCGGCATCGGTGTCAGGAGGGGCCGGGCAACAAGTCCAGACTATCGGAACCGCTCTTAACTCTCTAATACCTAGCCTGTTTCCGGATGCTAAGGCCACGAGTATTGCGACACCGATTTTACATGGAGCTGAAGTCCCAATGAATGCACCTGTAGAGGAAGTGGGGCGGTGCGCTGCGTATGCCGACGGATGGTTAAACGTTGTTATACGGGTGCATGAATGACGGCTTTGCTAAGGTTGTGGGTTGGAAGCTACACGCTACACTCTGAGACCTTGCTTTAGAAGCGTTGGCCTTGGCGTGGAGACCGATAGAAATAATGCCGTAGAAATCTAGCCAAGAGGATTGAACTTATACAGATGCAGCTACTTTTGAGCTGCCTTATATATGGTAAAGAGGATAAGTGTAAAGGGGGAAAAATTGAATGGAATTCTATACCAAACCCAGAAATGCCTTGCCGATATTGTTTTTACAGTGGTAATTCGTTAAAAAATAAAGATGAAAATCTCCAGGAATCTCCAGGAACTGAACGCCCAAGCTTCATAAATAAGGAATGAAAAATGGTCCATGGCCACAGAAACAAAAGCTATCTCTCCATCAAGATTCACTGTTTCGAGGCCACATGTCCTGTTCTCTCTCATTTTGATGTTAAAGGCTCAGTTGGTCAACGCTACCAACACGCATCCCACCTCCTAGTCTACCGCCACCCTTGGTCACCATCCCTAGTTGATATAATCGTTCCTCTCCGCTTGTCGTTCGACCACCGATATACCATTTTTCCGGCCCTAGAGCGTCGCGGAACCCACCACTACCACTACTACTATCACTTCCCCGTCTATTCCTATCGTATGACGAGAAAGGGACAGCAGATGTAGAAGATGATGACGTTGGCACGGGTATAGGCGAGGTGGTAGAAGTCGTAGTGGAAGCGGGAGTTGACGATGTTGGAGCAGTGGTTGAAGAGGTTGTAGGAGCGGCGGAGCTTATTGGAGTCCGCGATGAAGGTGAAGGGGTGTGTGAATGAGTATGGGTATGAGTATGATGGTGATGAGAGTGGTGATGCGAGGAGAAATGACTGGACGTCGAGGATGCGGCAGCAGCGGCAGCAATAGCGTTGGTGGTTGACTGCGGTGAATTTGAAGGCGTGGGATTTGTTGTTGTCTTGGTAGCTATTGTTCGAGCTCCGGTGGTATTCGAGGAAGACGAGGGTGGAGAATATGGGGAGGAGCCGATATGTGACGACGACGGGCCAGGAGACGGCGGCTTTGAAGGCGCTGTCTTATATGCAGTTTGCGCCCTGAAGGCGGCGAGAAAGTTGGCTAGGAACGGCCTGTTGGTGGTCATGATTGCGGTACGTGTACCGCTATTTTCAGTCTGATATTGATGAGTGATGTTCTATTGGAGATGCTGTATTGATCTCTCTGCTCGTGTGGCGTATAAGTAATATAATATTTTTCTTTCTAGTGAGCTGCTGGACCAAAGGACACCGAAGCTCGTTTGTGTCTAGTTTAGTGTATATCCCGCAGTCCGAAAAGCGAGTGCGGCCGTCTGCTAGGTTTGTTGATATTGAATTGCACTGTCAGCTTGTCCAGCAAGAGAGGGCATCGGTCGTGGACGTCGATGATGATGATGATGATGTTGATGATGCTGAGCCTGTGGGGTGACTTTTTTTCCAATAGAGCGGGAGATCTCGGAAGGCCAACCACGGCCTGGCCGTTAGTAAGCATACGCCGCACACGCACAGCCACATTAGGGTCACGTGGAGAATGCTTAATCAGACGAAGTCCATAAGAGCACATTTAACAGTCAATACTTGATACGGTTTTCCATACTCTGTGCGCCAGTGGGTGCCTCTGGCTGCGGACTAATCAGTGCTACCGAGGTTCTCTCTCTGGGCATTGGCCCAGGACCGAAAGGGGCCTTCAAGGTTATGGAGACGTCAGGAGAAGTCCACGGATACTTTCAAAAGACTCCAGGTCATGGATACCTGACAGACCTCAACCAACGTATACAGAAAGCGCTGACGTGGCAGCTTTCACTCGGATGTTGGGAATATTTAGCAAAAGAAAGGGATAATTCTGACGTGCCCTTTTATCGTTCACCATCGACTAATTCCGACTCAATTTTGTCTTGATAAACATCTGAGACCCCGGGAGCTTGAACAAGAGCCAAGTTAAAAAGTTGCGCGTACAGAGTTTATAATCTTTGTTGAATAAAAGGGCTTTACGATCCAATTTCGAAGGATTTCTGGACGTCTATAGCGACGTTATTTTGATTTCTATACACTCAGGGAACTTCTCGTCTTGCCATTTCTGTATATTCTTTGAGTTGGATAGGCCTTCCAGACCCTTGGGGATATGTTAGCACTCAGGGGCTATAAAGGAAATTAACATAGAAGGCCGTAATTGAGTAAATGGTTATTGAGACCAATTGGTACACATACTCGGCACAACAATCCGTCCAAACTTACTAGTGGCAACTGTTATAATATCCCCTTAAATCTTCTCCCATCTTAAGCCACTTTTGAGAACTCGGGTAGCGGTCATGAACGCACCACATATAAGAATAACTATCCCAGACGAGAGTAAAGTCAATGTAAAGTTCCACTCTGTGATATCCTTGGTGGATAGATTGCGATTTTGCCAAAGTAGAATCCCTCCAGCAATTGGAGTTCCAATTAAGGCACCAAGGGATCCGAGGACGAGCGCTGTACGAGCTTGGCTACTCGTTGGACTGGTATCAAGGCTGATAGATGCCACAGCGGTAAGAACAAGCAATAGTTGGTATCCAGCAACGAACGCATAGATTAATGATGCTATGATAAGCCCCACTGCATTTTGCGCGAGTATAATGGAGATAAAGATAATCCCAGAGATGTTTGTAAAGAAGATGAGGGTGTTTAGATTTCCAACCCTGTTGCTGTTAGCAAAACTTTCTAATTCCAAATACGTACGAATAGTCATACTGACCTGGTAGCAATAATCGACAGAGCAAAGCCTCCTATCAAACTCGCCGTATTTATTGCACTCAGAAAGTAGCCGGCTAGTTCTGACCTGAGTCCTAGTCCGAGAGCGTACGTCGGAGCGTAGAAGAACGGAATAAAACCAGCAATGAACCCAAGTGTGGTTCCAATCACAAATGTACAATGGACAGGGTCTTTGAAGCTGCTAAAATCCAGCAGCTGCCATTTATTTTGGGCTGCAGGGAAAGAAGGGTTTACCCGTAAGGTGTATATGGTAGAGCCTGAAGTGAGGAGCATGAGGGATGTGATTATTCGTACCGCCCATGGGAAACCAACTGCAGCGATAAGCCAGTAGCTTACTATTGGGAAAGCGATCCCCCCTATCCCCGAGCTTAGTTTAGTCGTTGAGTATAATGTGCTAATTTTGTAACTATAAAAAGAGCCCTTTACCTATCGCGGCTCCTGAAATAGCTATGGCAGTTGCCAATGGACGTCTCGTTGAAAAGCAGGACGCAGCGATTGTAATTCCAGGCGCAAATAATAAACCAGATCCAATTCCAACACAAAGCCCTTCTGCTAGAAGAAATTGATAATACTTCGTGCTGAATGACGTTATGACGAGTCCGAGAACTTGCAAGAGTATTCCTATCACTGTAACATGATAAAAGTGGCCTGCATTGGCCGCTCTGCTGGAGAAAATTCCAACAAAGAGGATAAGGAAGGCTTGGGTTGAACCAATCCATGAGAGAGCTGATTGGGATGAGCTTGAGAGGATGCTCATGGAATAACTCGCTTGAAAGGCTCCATGAGCCATAACGAGGCCCCTGAGTCACGAATATTAGCCGATCCTCAGGAAACATAAAGCACATTTGAGAAAAGTTGATTCACCATGTATTTTGAGTAAGAACGAATGCTCCTATAACCTGCATCCAGGCATTACGCCCTCCGTTGGGAGCAGGGTCTGGCACTGTTTCCGGGTGTCTAGTTCCATCCTCGAGGGATATGTTAGATTCATGCACTTGAACCTGGTTATTCTTCATAGTCTTAGTCTCATCTTCTGGATCCATTGTTGTCCGATACAGATATACAAGTAGCGATTGGAAAGAAGGTGGGATATATTTCTCTCCCCGAATGGCATAAACGAAGCCGCTGGATCGGAATATATGACCGCCCTTGCATGTTATATAGGCCAATGGTATAGAGCTGTGGAAGGGTAACTATGCCGCGTTTTGTCTTACCATAATCGCAAAAACTAACATTGATGTCATCAAGTGACGCGAACTATCTGTAAGTGTGACAACCGCAGCCCCGACAATATAGTGCAGTGTGTTGAAGGCACATAGGCATTCATCACCCTAGAAGTGTTCCATGTGATAATCCAAACAAGTCCTGGGTATAGTAAAAAAGAACGATAGTGGACCTGTGTATATCGACTGGCCTACACCAATGATGCCGTATCCGCGCAAGTTGTGAACTGAAAAATTATCAATAAGACAACTGAACTACAGACTCACGGATTATACTGCAAAGGAGCGTAAACCTTTCTCTTTCATATTTTGTGTCTTGGTTTTATCATGCCGAGACTAGCACTGGGAATCAGCAGTGCGCAAACTTGCGATTGGAGTCGCATGTCGAACTCGTCTGTTGGCTTAGAGGAGTGGTGAGACGCAGAGTCGCAGTTGTGAACCCAAACCATCCAATTTACCTATTCAATTAGACATGCAGCTAGCCTAGCCAGGAGGGAAAGATAGTTGTGTACTATCTCTTATGCACAAGCGATATTAGTTTAAGCTGTATCTGTGGCTTTCCGGGAGATCCAAGCTCAGATGGCAGATAGAAGTGAGCAGTTTTTGTAATAGCTAGCCCTAAAAGTCATGGCGGTCTGCATGGTGTATGGGCTCAAGGCATTGAAAGCATGCAGTCATTTTTGTGCTGCGACGGGAATAGGTATATATATATTTTTCTTTTTTCTTATTCCATACTCAGTCCTTGAGCGCTCAAAATACAAAGGCCAGAAGGGACTGCGTACGACAGACAAACTGGTAGATTTGTAGAGAGAAAAGGAGAGCAACGCCGCTGATACATATCAAGTTGAGCAGTGTAAGTATATATCTTAACACTTATCGGTGTCGCATTCCATCAAAGTGCGCGGCCAGAAGGGAGTAAAAGGTTTGGTGGCCATGCAAGGAAGAGAAGTGTTGGTCATTAATAGGCACCTTGGTAGATCGTATTAAGGGGGTACTATAACCATACCTCCTAGGTTTACGGTTTCACTGGAGAATCGGCATTAAAAACCCGTCATGAATTGATTGCTTGTTCTGAGCAAGGAACCCTACAGCTTGGAGGTGGCTCGTATTCGGTATTTAGGATGGTCCATTTCCAGGACATGCATCACCCTGAGCAGTGCCCATTTTGTGCATGCACTTAATAACAAGCAATACTTGATTTGGATTAGTATCGACTGCCGGCCACGCCGGTTTTACCTTACTTTCCGTCGTTTTAAACGTCCACTAATGCAAAAAGGGTAGTTGTTCCTGTGGGATTTAAAAAAAATATCGGAGAGCAATAGGTATCCGTTTATGCCATGGTATAGTTCCTTTACTTCCTGTAAACAAGGGGTCGTTCTATGGTATCATCTTGGGCTGAATTAGCTGCACGAGACTGGATGACATGCAACAAAATCAGAGGATGTAGCAGGTGGATGTTTCTCGCACGTCTTATTTCGATTTTAGGTTTGCCTGGCCACAGAATACTATAGTACTATATGTATGTAGTATGTCGTAAGTATGGGTAGGATGCAAAGTAAAAAAAACTTTGTATACTTCTAGGTCTGATGAACTTGGCCTGCGGAGAACACATCATACCCTAGCCTCGGTAGAACCCAGTAACGTGGCCGCTAGTACTCTTTCTGAGGCTGATGAGAGCGATGCTCCCCTTCTGTTGATCGATTCTGGTGGACAGGCCATCTGGAAAAAACTTGGTCATACTTGTCCTGTTTCTGGTGGAGACAAAATAGGTAAAAAATGCGTATCAGCAGGGGATGACAAATATGAGCTTCTGCAAGGTGGTGGTAGGGTAGGCTTGCTGGATACAACGTGTGCAAGCATTTATTCCAGGTTTTCGAGGAACCATGTGCTTGAACTGTTTCTTTGCAGGGATAATTAGGCTAAACCACGGGGATCTAGATGCACCTGTTGATATTATATGTGGTGGTCTGCATAATACTTGTTGAATACTCATGGCCCACACATCATTTTAGATTTGATACTTTGTACTGTCCTTTTGAGTAAAGGGAATAATAGCTCCTTGATATAATTGATAGTTCCCGGCACCCGCTGGTGTTGTTCATAAGCCTAATGAGATACGGAATTCTCCGTCAATGTATTTGTAACCAGGTTTATTTATTAAACCGCAGTGTGGACTCCATATGTGGATGCTGGAGAGCAGAATCATACGCCCGGTCTGGATGGAGAAAGGAATGTCTCAAACCAGCATCTTGCCAGGGAGAAAAGGGCCAGAGGTAATGCCCATGGTCAAAATCAGCCTTCCCACGCCTCCTTTCGAGTCTGCAAATGGCCCAGGACATGTGAGAATTAACTATGTTGCCTGATATTCCGTATCCTCGTTGTCATAACTTTCACCTGGTTAGCCTGTTGACTCGCTAACGAATACTGATTACTTACCACTAGCACGCCCTATCTTTCCAATAAGACCATTTCGCATCAGCGGCTTGCATGGAGAGCCAAAGTATAGCCGCCTCCCTTGAGCTATCTCCTATCTCGTCTCTTGCACAGGTGATGCACTGTTGGGCCGTCTGATGAATGGAGCAGACCTGTCCACTCCGATCGGCTCCTCACAGAACGATCCTCTCGCTTCCCTAATAACATTCAAATTGAAAGAAAATAAAAATAGAATAAATTAAATTGTTGACGATAAGAATAAAACAGAAGACAAGCTTCTCTTGGTGGAGAGATCCAGCAACAAGCAACTCTTGGCACGTGAGCGTTTTCGACTCCAAACGTTCAACTTGAATGTTCTTTTTGCACTCCAACAACATACTTAGCAAATATACGGAGTAGAGATGGCCAGATAAATCGACGAGAGCTCGTGTGGAATGTCGGTGAGTGTTCCATGCAGCATGAAACCGGCGAGCTAACAACCTGCATTTAGGCAGCGCCAAACGGGTAGGATGGCACTTGACCCGCCGTATTATCCTAGGCGAGAGGGAGAACAGTAAGCTAGCGGGCTATATATTACTTGACTCCCAGTGGTGGCCCCCCCCCCCCCCTCCTTGAAGGCGCATGATTGCATGCAAACGGATATTAATTATGTTAGTTGGTTGTGTCCGCTAAATATTACTTCCTAGCTTCATTTATGCTTTGGCCTAGGGACGGATGGAAGCCAAAGAAGAGAAAAAACAAAAATCACCTTTTTCCAAACAGACTTCAACATATATATGCTCGTGTTAAGCGATCCAATAGTCGCGGGGACGGCATGGGTTCGCACTCCCCTTGCTCTGGAATTTCGCGTTGGGTTGGGCGCTAGGTCGGTTGGCTGCTCAACTCGCGAAGGCGGGAGGGACCTGCGCAAATTCACCACATGTGAACAAACTGCTGGGTATCTAACTATATACTCATATGTACATGAAAAAAAAAAAAAAAAAAGGACAAGGACAGGAAGGTGGAGAAGGCGCCATGTCATGCCGCAAGGGGTGAAACGAGTCAGTGCCAGCAGCTCGATGTTGGCCGGGAACCAAGTTGCACCGTATCCAAGACGGGACGTTGCAGGCGTTGAGAATGAAATGAGCCATCAAAACACCATTCCGAGAGAATGCTAACAACTAATGCAGATGAACCCCATCTCGCTCTGCCTGTCATTGGGCGGGAGCAGGCAAGCTTTTTCGAAGCATTTTCCAACCCGGTTTAGCGGTCGAACACCGTCTTATTCTGCTCTGACCCGCTATTTGCATTCTTGGTCTTGAGTTGCATCCAGCAAAAAAAGATGCCCTGAGCGCATTAGCCGGTCATGAAATTACGCTGTTCCCTTGCCGGATACCACTTTACATACCATATGTACCTCCCGCCAGGCCCCCCTTTCTTGCTGGCCTCTCTCTCTCTCTGCTTCTTCAGCTGCTCCTCAGCCGGCTAGCTTTGCTTCCGGCGACCCTGAGGACTTGTTCAAGAGTAAAACGCCTGCTTCGAACATGAGTAGAATTACTAATACGAGCCGGCCAGAGTTTCTCTCCCCTTACTTCGGAGAAGGGACCAAGCAAGAATGTTGAAAAGAGTCAAGCTTTCTGATGCATGTTCCTTTTAATTAATAAGAACGGGTGCTAATAGTCTGATGGCAGGCCCTCGTCCTACCGCCAGCTGTCTCTCCCCTTATCACCCCTCTTCTCTCTCTTTCTCTCTCTCTCTCTCTCTTTCTCCTTGGTTCTGTCTATTTCTTTATCTCTGCTTTTACGACTTATCTCTCCCTTTTTTACTATCCTGCAAACAGCGCAGTGGAGGACTGGCATCACCCCTTAGTGGACGCCCTTAAAGCCAACAAGAGTAAAAGAAGCTTCGCCTCCCTTGCCGTCTCTTCTGCTGTGGTAGAAACACACCAAAAAAAGAAAAGTCCGTATCCTGGAAATATATTATAATATACCAGACATCCTCCTAACCGCCCCGAAGCAAATCTAGCCACTTGCTGTCCATTTTTTGCTCTTCCACCCAACGCCACTCTATATATATAATAATCATATCTTCGGAAGACTCTTAAGGCACCCTGGTCTCTCTCTCTCTCGTCTCTTATCGACTCGTCTCGAATAATCGCCGTCTCGCGTGCCCATAGAAAAGGGTTCAAAGGGAAGCCAAAAAAAAAAGGCGCCAACTCACCAACAACCAGAAAAAAACCACAAATTCAAACCTCACGCAACCGGGTTTGCCTATGGAGGGAACCACCTGAAAACTAACGCTCTCCCTCTACGAGGGTAAGGAATAATTAAAAAAAGAGAGAGAAAAAAAAGAAAAAGGGAGAAAAGGAATAAAGTCGACCGTAAACCCCGTTTCCTCTCTTGGAGCCGGGGCGATGGCCCTCGACACAAATGCCATCGACTCCTCGACCACTCCACCAGCTCGACACCGGTCTATCCTGTCTAAACTGACCAGCCGCTTTGGTAATCGCAATCGCAATATCTCAGAGTTCTACGTCCAGCCAGATGACCCGTGGAAGTCGTACCATCCGGGTGAGGTCGTCAAGGGGGCTGTGGTGCTGACGGTGGTGAAACCCGTGAGGATAACGCATCTGGTCGTCTGTCTACATGGGTATGCAAAGGTGTTTAAGAATGCGGTTGGACCCGGTGAACACGCAGAGGAGTCGGGATACCTGGGGCCTGGACGTGGGCGCAGAGATGGCGAATACCTGGGCAACGGCTTCACCTCCTTGTTCGAGGACGAAGTAGTACTATGTGGTGATGGAAGGCTGAAGGAAGGCATCTACAAATTTCGATTTGAGCTCTGCTTCCCCCCTTACTCGTTACCCAGCAGTATCAATGTTTGTCATGTTCCCCTTATTTCTTCCCTCAGTTCACTTGTTTGGGAGCTGTTCTCTTCTAATCATTCTAGCAGTTTGAACGAGGAACGATATCATATATGATTACCTCTACCCTGACACGACCGACGACAATATCCCCTTCCATGTCATGCGACAAACGACTGATCCTCATTGAGAGAATCGATATCGCTCCTCTCCCCGCTCCGAAAGCCCGCGTCATCACTCTCGAGCCCATATCGGCAAGGTCAAAGTCCAAGCCAAGAAAGAAATCTACTTCAGGCGAACGAGCATCCAACGGTGCTGCAGGTCCGGTATCCCTTGAGCCATCCTCTTCACAAGCGCCTGAGCCGCGACCTCCATTGAGTCCCGTCCCGAGCGAACAGAGTACTTCGAGCTGTGTCAGCAATAGCACCCAAAGCTTCCAGATCATCAGTGAATCAAATACTACCCGAGATTCGAATACTATAACTGCCACGACCAAGCTGCTTCGCGGTGGCGGGCTGCCCGGTGATGTCTTGCCCCTGAGAATTATGCTCAGCCACACGAAACCGATTCGAAGTCCGCATGGAATTATCATCACGCTCTATCGTCAAGGAAGAATCGACATGTATCCTGCCATCCCGATCGGCACACCCGCCAAGGGCAAGAGACCGGTTTACGAAGACTATTATCCCAAATCCCGCACGGGGCTGGGCGGCCTGTCCTTTGGTGCGAATCGAACTTGCAGTGTTTTCCGAAAGGATATGTCGCAGATATTCTGTCCGCTGATAGTTGACCCTAACACCATGACTGCGGACATAAAGACATCTATCCGCATTCCGGAGGATTGCTTCCCCACGATAACTCGCGTTCCTGGCGCAATGATCAGTTTTCGCTATTATGTCGAAGTGATTATGGATATACGGGGAAAACTGGCTGGCCAGGACCGCTTCCTCCCGCGGCTAAACATAATGAACTCATCCTCCAGTAATTATAATTATTGTGCTACGCCTCGGGGATTTAACACTGTCGATACTTCGAGGGGAGGCACGTCTACCACTTCCAGTTGTACGGGGAACATACTGGACACCGATCAAGTGCGAAGGGATAAAAGTGTCATCGTTTGCGTCTTCGAGATCATCGTTGGATCTAAGGATAGCGGTAGAGGCCAACAACAACCTGCAAGTGATTCAAGCGTTCCTCAAGAATACCCAGCTTCAAACCCGGATCAACCTATTCAATATGCCACCTCAGAGACGGCACGTGAGCAGCAGCAGCAGCAAACATCGCAGCAGCAACAACAGCAACAAGTTCAAGCATCACAGATTAGGTTCGCGAACCGATCTCAAAGCGTTCAGAGCCAGAGCCAGGACAGTGACACTGCCACTGGCTCTGAGGGCCAAGAGCCCTGGCACGCTCGACCTCCGGGCCAGTACATTATAGAACCGCCACGACTCCCGTCTTCTAACCAGTCGGAGGAGGATGTCGACGAGAAAACACGGTTGCGTCGAGCGGAAGCCATGCTCTTACCCAGCGCACCACCAGCCTCTGATGAACCCGGGCCATCTAGTTCTGCACCACCTTCAGCACCGGCTCTATCGGAGCACCATGAATCCTCGTATTTCGAGGGCCCTACCCCTACATACTCTGCCTCTGTCTATATGCATAATCGCCATTCTTCCGCACCGTCACCAGATACAATAACCCCTTACACTGCGCACGAACCCTCACCCGCCCTTCAGCTCCCGGATCCATATCTATATTCTCCCGAAAGCACTGCTGAAAGCTCTAACCATCAAGACTACCAACAATACAACCCAACCCAGCCTTCCACGGATGACAAACAGGAGCTCGAAAAGCAGCGGCTTCTCAATGAGAGAAGCGCTCCACCGGACTCAAACGCACCGGAATCAGCTGGTTCCAGCCGGACCACCGCTGCGGCCCCTGAAAACGGCGATATCCGCCAGCAATCCCTCCCCTCCGCCCCTGTTCTTACAGAGGAGGATATCATAGGACAGCCAATAGCGACAGGCGAATCCCTCCCCAGATACCAACGATAGATGGAGAATATGGCTACTTATGTGATGACTAGGACGGGACGGCGTTTACAGGGAAAGTTGTTTACCTACATATATTTCTTCTCCACATAATGTTTTTCTATTTTCTCTCATCCTTTTCCCAGCCGTACTCCTTTTAGTAGCGGTTTTACTCTAAATTCGAGGCATTGGGCTTGGGCTATACTATAATACCACGGATATTTTAACGGCAGTTATGTTAGCTTAGGCTTAGGCTTATTATATATATATAGCCATGCATGGTTTTCCCACGCAAGGGGGCCCCAAACGGCGTCGTTTTCGCATACTGGCTATTTGTTTATATGATTATCTTATAACTATTCTCGAATGCTTGCATCTAAAACTTACATGATCATTAAGCAGCATACATTATGTTTTGATGGTGTTCCCAAGCAGATGATTTGACGAACTACTCATCTTCATCGATGCCAAAGGGCGTTAACTAGACTCGTTGATAATTCGGGCGATTCCTGGTTCAGATTACAACTTGCATCCTTGAATGGACCCCAACGGCCAAACTCGCTCGATACAATAATATATGCAATGTATCTTCATTACCAAGCGCCCAGGGCCCGATATGCATTGTGATACTGAGTACATATATTATCCTGGCACAAGGGTCGTTTCAGCGTCAGGGGATTGCTTGTCTTGCCATCTTATGTACGGCCAAAACAACCACTTACAGCTCGTCCGGTTGATTTAAGACTTCAACCAAACACAAGCCATCCATAGCATACCCAGGCATATCCAAGCTGATACTCTACATAATACTTTACATACCTGCCTATGCCGCTGTCTCTTCCAAGCTACAGTACTTGAAGGCTGCGAGGTTTATAAGCCACCGCGACGTTGGTACTTCAAACACCAATAGCAGCAAGGGGCCCTTTTTGCGCTGGTCTTTTGTACTCCAGGTGCAGGCTAACTTATCGGTTTACTCGTCGTTTCCGTTCGATATGTTGGCTTATATATCCAACATTATACAATTTGGCGCGACCCTGCTGTGAAAGTAGTAGTAACTCCAGTGGTAAAGGCGAATTATTACGGAATCATGGCCTCAGCTTGGACTGGGGCCAGGATGTATCAGCAGAGGGCCGTGGGTAGCACTTATTGATACCCTCATTGCCATCAGAGAAATCTTTTGGGAGGAAAGATATAAAATGGCTGTGAATTTCCTCCCCATTGACAGCTTTGATACCCATCATCAACACGGTCGTTTCCTCCTATTTTATTTCTACCCCAGTCATTCATTCACTTGGAAAAAGACAATATATTCTTTTAAATCCACCAAAGCATTGAATATCTGCTTTACTCGAATCTCACACTCTACATTTTACTACTTTCCCAAGCTCGTTGATCTTTCCCAGAGATATCATTTGCTTTGCTGTACTTCCCATTATGGTTCTTTCGAAACTCCTTCTCGCTTGTTTGGCCGTCACGGCAAACCTGGCAAATGCTGAAGTTGTGGCTGGAAGCACTCCGCTGGTGAAGTATTCCAGCTGCAATAAGATGCAGCAAAACCAAATCTACGAGGCCTGGTTTGATGCTCTTAAAATTGCTAATGAAGGCAAAGGTGGTTTTGGTGATTGGAAGGGAGATGCTGAGATTGAATATTTTGGCCCTCCTGCCTTAAATCATCCTTATCAACGCGGTATTCAAGGTATGCATTGTCCTATTTCTTCTATATCAGAACCGCAAAATCGCCGAGCTAATGAGAGATGAAAAAGACCTTCTTACGAGGGCAGCGGGGCTTTATAGGCCATGGTGGTTTAAGCCTACTCTATCAAGGATTCACGCGCGCTGCGATGACTGGGAGAACAAATGCCAACAGAGAGGCCTGGCTGTGTATTCTTCGCATGGCTGTACGGAGGGTGAAGCAATCTGTATCAACTTCTGCGATGGATTCTTCGATCTACCATCATTGAACGATGTCATCAATACGGCCCGCCCATTGAAAGATGATGACATTGTCAAATTACATATGGCAACGTACCAGTCAAGAGGTAAATCGTTCTGCCCGCTGATTTTCACGGTGTACTAATACTATACCCAAGGATCTTCTATGTTGCATGGACTCTTCCATCTTCAAGATGTTTCATGGCCCATACACCGGCCCACTGACCGGCTAGTGCGTTTTGAGACGCATGAAGGCAAAACGGTTATGGCTCCGGCTATTGGCCCGTATTGGACAAAGGTCGTTGCTCGGGTCGATCTCCTCAACACGAACAATACTTCTGGATTCCCAATAAACAGTAAGTTGGTCTTTCCTTCCTGATATACACTTTATTTTGAGGTTTCTCTAACTTGACCCGAAGCCGACAACTTGGTACAATACTCCGTCGCCAAATATATTCATAAAAATTTGAACGTGTAAGTATCTCCTGATTCTATCAATAAATTATCCTTTTTGCTCATTTTATGGTCACAGCCACCCATACTACCCGATAGCTCTCAGCAAAACCCTCGGGCAAAATAACGAAACCCAGGGGCCAGGTTGGGAAGTAATCGATGGAAAACTCCAGGGTAATGGAACACTCATAAGCGGACACATGCTGTCCGCTGTTGATACGCAGCCTCTCGAATGGAATAACGATACCATTGCGCCATTTGATCAAGTATTCAACGATCCAAACTATTTAAGCCACGTTGTCTTGCCTCTGGAAAAGTTCATCGAGCATGACAGGTACCCCCAAACGTTCTTTACCGGAGGCCGTATGGAAACGAGCCCTAATGGCAGCCCCCAACTCACACCCAAGAGCAACTATACCAAAGGTGATGAGAACTTACATTGCGCCAATGAAGAGATTACGGATGAAGGATACGTGACTGTCCAATTCGCAGAAGAAAGTATCGATGACGCCTGCTCCAAGCTCAAAGACATTGCCTTGGGCCCAAAAAACACTGGAATCCAGAATTCGTATGAATTTATTGATGCAGAGAAACAACACAGTGCTCTTTGGGCTGGTGCCTTTTGGAACACTGGTGATGTAGGATGCCAAACAGATCGCAACGTTGCTGAAGATGAATGCAAGGAGCAGCTCCGAGAGTGCCTGAACGGCTGCCAGGTTGACACAACTTCAGTAAAGAAGGGAGGCTCCAGGGTAAACAATTGCATAATTTACCGCCTTGGGGTTGAACGCAATCCTACCTTGTAATGGATAAGAATATGCACTCTAGAGGTGTGTGTGTGGATGAGGCCAGTTCCGGGGGTGTAGCTGTGCCTTTGATAGGTTATGTCTTCATGTCACCATGATTTTCCTATGTGAAATATATACTATAGTATCAATATCCCATCTACTCTCATATCTCACTCTTATTCATGCAATTTGCTTCCGAATTTTGCTCTACAGTTAACGAGTTACTCTAGCATTGTTCTACCCTTAATCACTCTGTCCATTGGGTGAACCTTTCGGGGGCATACTCCGTACATATTTTCAAGTCAATCCTGGTTATCGCAGCCAGCCCTGACAGTGGTCTGTGCATCATTCTACCTTTGTGGCTGAGAACTTACTGGTTGCCTGGGGTTGTTATCCTATAGATATCATTTTGTTTTTGTGATGCTGGGGATATATGAACCCTGGATGCCTCGATAAGCCTTGGTATTTGGAAAGGGCATAGACGTCTACTATGTAAGTACTGGCTGAAGAGGCTTATCCTATACTATGTATGTCGCCAGCTCATTACCATCTAGTGGCATCGTCAGGTTGATAACGAGTTGTTGGTCGATCATATTAATTAACTCGCCGGAAACACTGCAATAAACTTACACGGCTGATCCCCAGGCTGTGCAGAAACCGTTTCTTTTTCTTGTCCAATCCCACAAATGTGACGTTGATGTGATCCCTCATGCAAGTGCAAGGAATAATGGTTGAAACAAAGGGGGAGCTGATGCCATTTCGACCAATCGGGGCAACCAAATAATAATAGACGGCAGGCCACCATCTGCAGCGGGGTTTCCAAGAGCTATTCAAGTCAAAGCTCCAAAACCGAGGAAACTCAACAGGGACGCTCTTATTTATATATCAATGGCCCCCGTCAGTGTGATGCAATTATTCCTATAACTACTTTGAACAACAAGAATGTCCCCTATTTGCCAAAAATGGCTGCTGGTTTTGGCTTTTCGGTTGGTGACTTCATCGCCTGTACCAAGGTAGCCAAATCGGTATTCCTTGCGTTTCGCGAGGGAACAGGCGCAAGTTCGACATACCAGCGGTTTGTGGCAGATCTAAATAGTCTTATGTATGGGTTAGAGGAGATACGGTATTTGCAATTCGATGAATCACAAAAAGAACAGAAGTTAGCCCTAGAAGAGGCTGCAGTACGATGCCAACAAACCATCGAGACATTCCTCAAACGGCATGCCAAATTCAAAGCATCGCTTGGAAAAGAGCAGACAGCTTCCAAGTTCAGAACTCGTTTGCACAAAGTGGAATGGGCTCTGTGTATGAAGACAGAAGTTGATACCCTAAGGACTGAGATACTTGGCCACACAACAAGTATAAATACCCTATTGATAACGATGCAATCGTAAGTGTTCCTTGCATGATTTAGAACTTGCTTTCTCTGTACTAATATGATGCCGTAGCTCCACGGCGGCTCTACAAACAAACGTGATAAGAGACTATAGCCAAGTTACATTTGAACAGTCAGCCTTGATGATGAAAGAGACGCAGAGCCGGATAGGGCAGACCCACAACATGCTTGGGGCACAGGCGGACACCCTCAGCAGAATATTGAATATCTTGGAATATTCAAACACACAGCCGAAAATCCAAGATGTGCGATCTATCATGTTGGAAGCATTCGACATGAACATGAAGGTGTGCAGGATGGCGCTTGATCTACAAAAGTCTCAGGCTAAGTCACAGCTAGACTATCAAGTGCCTATCTTGGCCCCACAGATAGGACGTCAGCATCCCGTGGAGCTGGAAGATGCACACGGAAGAGTGACGCCTTTCCACGTGGAGTTCATAAACTCCTTTGAAGCCTTCCAGGCGGTATTGGAGGCTCGATTCCGCAATGTTCCCGGTTGGAAGAAGGTAAAGAATATGGAATATGTGATGAAGGAGTCCCATTCCAACCGCCGCTTGAATTTCAATGCACCATGGGAATCAGTATTCTTGCCGGGTAGAAGTGTGACTATGAGCATGGTTTTTTGGATGCCACCCCCAGATATGCTAAGATGCCCAGGCTGCCAGTTGGAAAGTAAGGAGAGCGGAACCGGATATGAGATTCAATGGTAAGCGTCAGCCATTCCCTCGGCCTTTAAACATATCTAATTCTGTGTTTGTTGTCATCACAGTCAGGGCTCGAATTGTAAGTTATGGTATGAGCGCGTAGTCGACTTTGAGCAGACTCCCCGAAATATATGTGCGGTAAGACAATCGCCCAAAGTTCTTAATATATATCCATCACGGACTGAGCTGTTATTGGCCCCGAGAGTGGAAGACGAAATCCATGAATTCCGCCGTGTGCAAGTCCGCCATATCCTCAGCATTTAGCCTTTAAATTTGGTCTGTCTAGTGTGTATCTATATACGGCTATTAGAGCCTAGGAATCGTATTCATCTCCTCCAGCCTAACCATCACAAGCCATCGTTTGATGTTTGCGTTTACCCGTTTTGGAATATCAATCGGAGAAATATTTTACCGTAACCCCGTCATTGGTCAAACTCAAAATATTATTTAGCCAATAATAATGCGTGGTACTTAATTACATAATTCCGGGGAAACAACCCCAAGACGTTTTGGGAGAAAAAGAGACTGACTAAGAGGAAGAAGAGAACAACATCGCCTTCTCGCTTTCTGGAAGGATTCTTCTTCTTTTCTTCGTCTGGAGCACTCGGGGAAGATACGTCTGCTCTGCGATCTCGACTCCTTGTCGGCTTTTGGCTTTATCCTCCAGCGGTAAGAAGCTACTTTTCCGTCAAAGTCCCTCTTTACTACGTAGTGGCTTTCGCGCAAACAAGAACCACCACGGCTGATTTGATATTGCCACCAGGACAGATTGGATCAAGCCCGACTATTGATTGGCCTTTAGTGTGTATCTCTTATCAGGCAGCATTGAATGAGAAGGGGACTTCGCGACCATGGCTCTCACTAGTGGTTCCTTCGCGGCGTTTCTCATCGTCTGCCGTACGTTTACTTTCAACGCAGCTCTCCCAACCATGTGTTATGCGATCGCTGACTATTCATCAATATAGCAACATGCTTCTTCCTCGGAATTATATTCTCTCTTTTCCCCTACGACTATCCTTTATTATGGTCGGCCGCACCAACCCCACCTTCTCATTACGACTACCTTGAAGCCCATTTGCGCTTCCTTCATAGCTCTCCGCCGCTGATCCCACGTATCCTCCATATCGTCATTGCTGTTGGCCTTTTAGGCCTGATCATGAAATTATACAAACCGACTGAATCCAACATGCTCTTTGACGGCGCCAGCTTGGTCCTGTACATGTGCGGTATCACCGTCTATATTGCCAACATCGTCAAGGGTCTCCGTATTGTTACTGATGGCGACTATGGAGCGACCGCTGCAGCAGATGCTGCTGCCGCCGCCGCCGCCGCAGTGGCCTCGGGTGAGAGTGAAGACGATGTGGGGAGTGTTCCGCAAGTTCTTGGTCGCGAGGATAGTATGAAAGTGCTTGCAGCAAGCAACACCATCTTGGCATTGGTCTTGATTGGCGTTTTGGTACTTCAAGCCGGCCAGTGGTATGCTGATAGGAAATCCCAGCAAGAAGCCGAATTGATCAAGAAGAGAGAAGAAGAAAGCGCAGAGAGAGAGAAAGCTGGCAAGGACTCGCCCAAGGCTACAAAACGAAGTAGCACTTCTGCAGCCAACAAGAAAAAGCAATGATTGGCTGGCTTATTTCTTATTGATAATCCTTTGTCAGTCCTGTTAAGCTTGTCTGGGAAGTGTGTCAGGTAGAGTTATTACTGCGGTTGGGATATAGGGCCGGCCATAATGTATAAAAATATGGAGTCTTTACTGATGTTAATGAGGTATCAGCTGTGCATCAAAATTATGTAATAACTTCAAATGATAGACCAACCAGGAAAAATTGTGTAAGGTGAGATTTTTTTGTCTTGAATCATAATCATCAGATCGTTTTGGTTTTCTTTTAAAAAAATGATAAGGTATATATGTGTGAGTATGTATATAGAGAATAAGGGGTGGGCAGTAACGCCAGAAAAAAGTGCAAGTACAAGAAGACTAGATGAAAGAATCAATCAAGAGTATTTACCCGGCAACGTTTCAAGCATTTAGTTGCTTGGCAGCATAGGGAAGAGTCTCTTCTGTAGAGAATGAGAAGGGGCTTTTGGGGATATCAGGGGATCGAGGGCTGAGAGCCTTTGCAAACAACCCGTCTTGAACGTCTGGCGGGTTTGCATTATTATTAACCTCGTTGTTCGAGCTGATACTGTCAACGATGGGCTGCATATTCAAAGAGGCGAATCCGGAGTCCTGCGCTTGTTGCCGGCGAATAAAGTCTGGGGGAGCATGAGCTACTGGTTGCCTGACTATTGGGTGGGTCTGTGCCTGATGTGGTGCATTTGGCGGTTGTGGCGGTTGCTGTGCCTGCAATGACGGGGTCGACGGGTTGATCGGGGTGTTACCAGTGTGGAACGAGCTGAAGGAAGATATCGCCATGTCTGGCTCGTCAGGAGATAGAGGATGAAGATGTGGATCGGAAGCTGAATTTCCTGCATGCATATTAGAACCTTGGCCCAAGAATATTAGAATATAGACGCTGGCATCGCGCTTAGGGGGCTGGAAAGGAGGTGGTGGTGATGCTTTATACACCTACCCACGGGTTTCCGGGTTAGATCTTTCTCACTCGTCCCAAGACGCAACCCCTTTAACTTCTCACTCAGTCGACTCCCGCCCGTTGGTGATACTGGCGTCGTGGGACTGAGCGGTGGCGCATTCAAATTAGATAAAACATTTGTTGTCACTAACTGAGGCAGGGGCTTCACAACGACTCCGAAGTTGGCTTCTATCCACTCCTTCTCCTCTATCGCCATATGCAACGCGATCCCCTCGGCGTTATACTGGGACTCCTCTTTGATCTCCTTCTCCAACACTTGTAGTCTTTTCTTCGCCCATATCGTATGCAGCACCCCCTTTTTCCCCGCCGTTCGCGCAGTGGCTCCTAGCTCTGGGGGGTAAATGGCGGGCAAAGGGTGGATCTGGATAGACTCGCTCTTCTTCACCGTCGAGGCCGAGCTAGGCGGAGGCTCGTAGGTCAGTGTGACCGTAGGCGGAATGGTTGCGTGTGGCGGCAACATAAAATAGCAGCGACGGATCTGGTCGGTCGCCTGGTCATGGGCTGGTAGGACGGTGCGCTTCCCATCCCACGAAACCTGCCATGAGCCGGTGCTGGATCTGGTGAGGTCGTCGTCCTCCCATTCCACCATCAGGATCTTGGTGCCTTCATTGCCTTTGCCGGCCTCGAACTCGAAGCGCCCCAGAGCAGTGAGGGATTGAAGCTTATTGGGGACGCGCGGTGTCTCCAGGGCAGCAAACTCGCTGTCCGGGGTGAACTCGCGAGCCATGGCCCAGTAAGGAGCTCCAGATATTTATTTTATAAAGACGAGACAGCCGGTGGGTTAGGAGGAGTAGGCGGAAAAAAAAAAGCAAATTCTATGCAGACAGACGTTGTTACCTCTTGTCCGCTCCGCTCTGTTTTGCACCCTCATACCATGATGTGATTATTTTTAGGCTGCTCCCTCCCCTCCCAGCCGTGGTTATGGGAAATTCTAAATTAACCCGCGGCCTCCTTGTTCTATTAATAGATACAAGATGCGGCTCACTTAGCGCCGCCAAGACTTGTGGGCGATTATACATTTTATACGTACATAATATTACATAAGGATGGTCAAACTGGACGAAGACACCAACGCAGCAGGACGGAGTCTCAAGAGGATGGATATATGGAATATCAGGGGTGCCAAGGGGACTTTGGACGTTGTACCATGATCGTGAATGCACCACATCCCGTTACTGTAGTGAGAAGTGCTGAGATAATAGTGATTAGTCAGCCATCCGCTTAACACTTCTTTTGGGTGTTTTATATGTTTCGAGATGTACAGGAAGATTTGCAAGGACAGAAAGCAGGCTGCTGGCTCTGTTGGTACTGTTCTACCCCACCAACGGTCTGGACTGTCCATCTGCTCAAAATAAACCTATATTCCAGGGGTATATATATATATATGTTAACGGCCTCAGTCTCCGTCGGTTCGAGTGGAGTATTCCCGTCCCACTGTGAGAGGTCACCGAAATAACTCGAATCCAACCCATCGCCAAACCTACAACCAACTTGCACCAACTTTCCCAGCGTCCCAAGGGGTTTTGTCATCTTCCTTTTTCTTTGTCGTCGCCCTACAATCTGGCCAATGCTCGCTTATAACCCGTCACTCCCTTGATTCCCCTCTTTATTCTGTCCTTTATCGATTGGAATCAGTTGTCACACGATGTCGAAGCTGTGGGAAATCGATCCGGAGACGAGAAGTAAAGTATGCCCTTCTTTTGGCTGCACGCAGCATCTGAAGTGATGGAGTAGTAAGAACTAAGGACTGATGGTGACGCTGTTGATTAAAATATTATAGCTCCAGATTATCCAAAAAACGAACGGGAATGATCGATGTTGCGACTGCGGCGCTCCCTCTCCGCAATGGGTATGAGGCATCCCCATTACCGCGGATATTTAAACTGAAATAGATATATAATATGTAACTTGTTTCTAACACAATCTGGCGCTATATCTACTCAGGCATCACCGAAATTCGGCACATTTATATGTCTCAATTGCGCTGGCACCCACCGTGGGCTGGGAGTGCACATCTCCTTTGTCCGGAGCATAACCATGGACGCCTTCAAGTTGGCTGAGATACAACGCATGGAGAGCGGAGGCAACGAGCCATGGAAACAATTCTTTGACGCCCATTCGTCAACCCTTGCCGAAGGCAGGACGTTCGAGGACTCGACGGTTAAAGAACGGTACAGTGGCGAGGTGGGCGAGGAGTGGAAGGAGAGATTATCTGCTAAAGTAGAAGGAAGGGAATATGTTCCTGTTGAAAAGACGACCAAGAAGAGTGCTCCTAGCAGGCCAGGAGCTGGTATATCGCGATCAAGCACCACGACACCGAGGGGGTTTGGAAGCGATTCTCCTGGCTTGCGGCGCGAACCACTTTCTAGGTCGAAATCTGTAGCGGGTGGTGGTGGTAGCTATTTAAGCAAAAAGGAACAGAATGAGGCTTATTTTGGGAAGATGGGGGAACTGAACGCCTCGAGGTCGGAGACCTTGCCACCTTCTGAAGGGGGGAAGTTTACGGGTTTCGGGGGAGGGATGCCAGTTGAGTCGACGTCGAGATCGGGTGATGCAGGTGGGATCCCTGGACTGGATGATTTTCAGTCTGATCCTGTGGCGGCGCTGACGAGATTGGTTCGGTTGGGTTTACTACGACTGTCGGCAAGGGGGCGAAGACCATGAATGATACATATATCCAGCCTGCTGCGAAAACAGTGCGTATTCTCCACATGACCTGCTGGCCTGCTTTACTGACTGTGAATCAACTAGCTCGCGGAATCAGACCTCGCGGCTCATGCTCGCCTTGCTGCTACAGAAGTAACGAGGAACATCCAGACCGGCACCCGTACAGCTGCAGACTCGTTTAATCGTTTTGTAGAAGGGAGCGGTGACCCAGGCGGCCATTATCGACCTTCCGGGTCTACCTCTACTTCGTCCAGAGGATTTGAGCCTGAAAGGAAGGATTTCTGGGACAGTTTTGCTGCTCTTGGGGAAGAGAGAGAGAGACAGGCGGGTACTGGCATTGCCTCAGGATCGGGATCAGGAGCTATTGGGACCGGAACGATGAAAAAGACTCATTCCTCTGTATCAAGCTCTGCTAAGGCAGCTCCTTCAGCGGCGCCGAAGGATGACGGGTGGGATGATAATTGGTAGATAGCGGCTTATGGATAATTGCATATAACAACCGCCCCTTAAGAATACATCGGATGTAGTGATTATTCTTCGACGGGGCGGCTAAACAATATACTTGACAAATCATTCTATATTCGTATTATATATCGTACATTCTTAGCTATCTTACAATCAATCGCCTTCTATATCCCTCGTATCTCTGCTATAATAGCCTTTTCCCTCTGGCTGCCCATCTTCTCGAAGCGGTCCACGCTCATGACAAACGTACCTCTACCACCAGTTATACTCCTCAGGTGTTTCAAGTATCCCACCATTTCCTTCAATGGAACTTTGGCGGTTATAGTTCTTGACCGGTTAGTTGCTGATAAGGAGGTAGAAGCACTTTCATTCGATAACGAGGGTCCAAAGGGATCTCTTGGAGCATATATCTTAGATACGTCAACGGTGTTTGGTTCCTCTGATGTTGTGGAGGAAGAAGAAGAAACGTCATCATCAAGAGAAACGACATGGCCTCCTCTAGAGGAGGAAATGTCATGGACAACGGAGCCTAAGCTTGATTCTTGAACACTAATCGTAACATTCATGACTGGCTCCATGAGGCCCGACGAGGGTGCCACATCTCTCAATGCAGCTTGTGTTGCGAGTCTAGCAGCCGCTGAAATAGCAGATGCAGTACTTTCTGTTCCAAAAAGATGCTCTTCCAGATTAAAGGTGAGCGTCACATCGACGCCGTGAAGAGGAAATTGATATTTAGATCCACGGGCTAGAGCAGCTAGACCGCCGGCAAGAAGGGCATTTTTAACCACATCAAGCGAAAGATGTGATGGGAACATATCATCTGCTTGTTTTCCCTTCTTATCTCCAATGCTGGGCAATTTAATGGTGACACGGTTGCCATCCACGTTTTGTGTAAAGATATGGCATCCCTCATTACTCGGTGCCCCTTCCTCAGAGAGTGGCTGGACAATAACTTCGCAGCCTGCCTTTCCCTTTCTTCCCGCAATCTCCTTGTCAAATAGCTTCGACGTTGTCGTAGATGTGTCAGCGATGCATTCTCGATAGCCAATTTCGATGTTGCCCATAGAGGCCTTCGCCTTGAAATCTCCCACAAGTCTATCTCGGGCGATTTCCAGGTGAAGCTCACCCATACCGCTGAGCAGGGTTTGGCCAGAGTCTTCATCTAACGTCACGCGCAGACTCGGGTCTTCTCGTAAAAGGAGTGCCAGACAAGCCTGGAGGTTCTTCTCCTCGCTGAGACTGTGAGGCTCAACACTGGAGAAGAACACGGGAGGAGGGGCGTTTATAGGGCGAAGCTGTAGGGTGTTTAGGGGCTCAGGCGGGCTTTGCTTGTTTCCAGCATAGGAAAGGAGGGTATCTCCGGTTCGAGCATATTTCAATCCAACGAAAACTGCAATATGTCCAGCCGAGATAGATTCCTGTTCAACGGCATCTGAGGCGTACATTTTGAGCAGGCGAGGGACTCTCTCGGAGACTTGGAGATTGGTATTGAATAGTAAGGCATTCCGATGCAGCGTCCCTGAGTAGATGCGTGCATAAACAAGGACGCCCCTTTTGGGATCACTGACAACCTTGAAAGCAAGTGCGCACGCTTCTAGCTTTTGGAGAGATGTCGCGGGCTTCGGTCGTGGGACTACACCCTTTTTTCCCTTTTGGCCGCCCGAGGCATCAATAACAAGTTTCCCTTCAAGATACTCATTTAGGCCGCATCTGACCCCACCAATACTAATTTCTGAATCTGGTCGTTCTAAGGGACTGGGAAGTAGGTTCACCACTGCGTCGAGCAATGGCTGAACCCCGATATTCCTGAAGCTGGCTCCCGCAAAGGTGGGGATAATCTTGTTCTCAGGGTCCCCTAGTAAGCAGCGGCGGAGGCTTTCGAGGATCTCTATCGGTTTGACCGCCAGGTGGTCCTCATTGTGCTCTAGAAAGCTTTCGACCATTGCATCGTCGTGTTCGCTTAGGAGCTCAACCAGTGCAATCCTAGCCTTTTTCAGTTCTTCTGCAAACTGCTTGTCGAACTGTTCTAGGGTACCTAGGTTTGACACTGATATCTTTTTGCCGTCACCCCCAAGCTCCCATAACATCCCCTGGAGCGAAATAACATCACCAATTCCCTGTAGTTTGCCATCGCCGCCTTCAAACCAAGGAATTTGACAGACAGCAGGCCAGCCTCCGAGCCGGGCACCGATCTCCTTCACCGTCCGGCCAAAAGCAGCACCTTCTCTGTCCAGTTTATTGACAAAGGCGATCCTCGGAATACCATAGGTCGACGCTTGACGCCAGACTTGCTCTGTTTGTGCTTCAACTCCGGCAACGCCGTCCAGGATGCAAACAGCTCCATCTAGAATACGGAGAGATCGTAAGACCTCGAAGGTAAAATCCGCATGGCCAGGGGTATCGATTAAGTTTATGGTATGAGAAATGGCAGATCTCGGTAATCCCTTCTCCTTCAAAACATCCAAGGTTAGGCTGTTCGCAGACTCTTCCTGCTGTGGGGGCCAGTGAAAGGTGATTGCAGCGGACTGGATGGTGATCCCACGAGCTCTCTCTGCCGGTAGGAAATCCGTCACTGTAGAACCGTCATCCACATCACCAATTCTTCGAGTAAAGCCGCTGTAATATAGCATTCGTTCAGTAGTGGTAGTCTTCCCGGCATCAATGTGAGCTATTATCCCAATGTTTCTTGTTCGGCTGAGATATTCTCCATTTCCACCGAGGCCTGAGGTCGAATATCTCCTCAACAGAGACTGTCGAGATAGCCATTTTGACGCACCAAATCGACAACTCAACTGCAAATGACGCCTTGAAAAGGCACAGCTTATGGGTAACACGGCTATGGTCATACCCAATGGCTTACTGCGCGGAAGCTGGCCTCCTGTCCATGTACAAACTAAGACAAGATATGGATATATATGCCCTATGAAAGTGAAACTTGGCTACCTGTACCGTCACAACCGGGAGCCAAGCTGTTTGTCTATCTCATCATATCTGCCAAAGCGCAGACGAAGTCTCAATTGTTCAATATAAAATCCGTTCGCGTTGTTGTTTTCTTGCGTTCTTTTTTTTCTGTTGATAACTAAAGTAACTAGGGCGGCGAAGGTGGACCAACCACGCACTCTCCGTCTTCAAAGGCTTTTTTGGACCAGAAATCAACTTCATCTTGCAGTTTGACCAAAGAAGAGGCCGACGAGGATCTTGATCTTGCCGGTATATATTGACAGCACGGGACTGTGAAACCGAGTTGTCTTTAACGGGAAAGACAACGATATAGTCTGCTTGCACGTTAACTAATTGACTATCCGATTCAAGTCTCACGATATCTAAACAACGCCTGCTACTCCACACTCTACAGACCAGCAGCCAGACACATGGATTATTCCTCGATATCTAACGATCCCGACCATCCTGCAGACTCGTCACCATGGGGTTCAACCTCCCCGCGAGCTGCGCGTCCGTTTTCTGCTGGCAGTGATGTCCCTCCAGCGTTCCCCTCGCAGCATCAGTCGCCGTACACCACGGATCACGAAGGGCCATATCACCGCAATGGCGAAGGAGATGACAACATCCAATCTCCAGTCCCATCAGATTTTCCCGGTGATTCTCATTCTGTAGGCTCTCCAGAGGCCCATTCAGCGTACCGTCACGAAGGCCAGCAGCAGGAGCACAGGCAGCAACCACCACGATCACAGGCCCCGTCTAGATATCAGACCGGAGCAAGACAGCAAACCAGACAAACCACTCCCAAATATAAACTACAAGCAAAGGTTACGGCTCTAGAAAGAACAGGGAAGAAGGATCCTGTGATTCGGTTTGATGTGCATGTAGGTTACTGTCCGCTGCGGTTTCCTGAAGGCCGTGATTGCTGACCATTGCACCTTTGGTAGACAAATATTCCAAAGTTTAGAACTACACAATTTCGAGACGTCCGGAGAACTCATTCTGAATTTATCAAGCTGGGAGATCACCTTATATCGTCCAACCCCGAGGCATTGGTGCCAGCTGTTCCCCCTCCGCTTACACCCGCAGGCGCCGGCACCGAGGAGGATGAAGTACGAGTAAAAGCATCTATGCAGCGATGGCTTAACTATGTATGTAGCAACGACGTTTTGATGGTTGATGATGAAATGATCTTGTTCGTTGAAAGCGACTCCGGGTACAGCCCCGTTGTCAGGATGAAGCAACCCGCGACGGGTGTGCGAAGAAAGGTCCTAAAGCAATTTGCTCCACCTCCCGATGATACCCCAGAACTGCATGATGCACGTCCGGTTGTGAAGCTCTTTTACCTTGCAACTATGGAGGCTGGTCAGAAGGTGGACCGAGTAGTTAAGGCCAGACGAGGTACGGAACACTATCCCCGACATGAAAGAAAGATCATTAGTTACAGACCTCTAATTGAAGTATGAAATAGCACTTGCTCTTGCGGAGTCTGATCTTGGGGTAAAGCTTGGGCAAATGCATGTACAGGAGACTCATGCTGGGCTCGCCAATGCCTATAAGAAACTAGGCAAGATCATCCAAACCACTGGAGACTATCATGCTGCCCAGGGGACGGCCGAAGCGACCACTCTCGGCGACCCTCTGAACTACCATTCTTCAGATGCCTTCATTGTGAAGGAAACGCTAACCAACCGGCACATTTTGCTCCGTGAGCTGATCCAGGCCCAGCAAACAGCAAACAGTAAGCGGGCTGCGGCAGATCGCCTGAAGGCCAGTACATCTGTGCGCCCAGATAAAGTTGATGAGGCTATAAGCGCTCTAGATGAAGCTCGGGGCCATGAAGAGTACCTATTGAAGAAAACCCAGCGGGTAACCAACAATCTCTTGCAGGAGAAACGCCGTTGGTTTAACCGGACAGCAAACGATCTGCTATTCAGCCTTCGTGAATACACGCTCCGGGAAATTGAGGCTGAACGCAGAACTCTGAGTACTCTGGAGAGTGTTCGTGCAGATATTCGCTCTATCGACTCTTCCGGAGGTTTGAGCCGTCTAGGTCGAGAGTCCCATCCCGCTGCTCGCCGAGCGAGCTTGGCCTCCAGCCAGGGCCCGAAGGGTGATGCTTGGAGTGGCGTTGCTCGTCGGGGGGATAGTCTAAGCAGAAGCATTAGCGGAAGTTTTGTGGCTCCCGTACCAGAAATCGATGAAGATGCAAATGGAAGTATTCACGGGACAGGCAGAGCAAGATCTCGCAGTGGGACGATCATTGAAGAAGATGACGACAGAGTCGATGCCAAAAATGCTGCAAGCCGCCTAGCCGCCAGCACATTCTAGACGCGGAAGCTAAGTACCTTTTTGCCTGTGGATATTGATGTTTGTTAAAACATAGTTACTGTGTGCTACCACTGTACCATCTTGCTGAGCTACAGTTATCAAAAACTTTTGATAAATCTTATATGGTGTTATGAATGATGAATTGAAGCCAAACACATGAGACATCCAACATTTAAAAAATATGTAACCCATGCTATTTTTTTCGCATTGAGAATACTATCAAGTCCACATGGCACAGTGCCACTGTTGTAGTAGCTATCCCTAGGAGGTTTTTGCCTCAGTTGGTTCCTCGTCATCACCCGTGAACCTCGACAGCCCATCGTTTGGAACATCAAACCAAACAGCCTTCTCTCCAAGGAAGATATGATCAGTCGGCTTCATAAGCTCCCCTTTAACATCCCAGTCATCAAAGGAACCAGGACACAGGGAGATGCTATCCGGCCTCTCATCCATTTCATACGTCAAAGTCGAGCCGCAATCACCACAATACCCTCTTTTAGCAAAGTTAGAAGACCGGAAGTATTTGGGCAGTTCGTTCAACCATGTTATCGAGCTTCGAGGGAACCTTGAAAACGTGGCATACGGTGCCCCTGATATTTTGCGGCAAGTGATGCAGAAGCAGTTGGACATGGACTTTGGGAGCGTCGTGGATGTGTAGCGTATCTTTTTGCAGCAACAACCCCCCTGGAGCACGACAGAGGAAGATGACATCGTTTTGCTGTCTCTAGTTGGTATGCTGCTTTTATTCGTTTTGGTTGCTTTCCCTCCTTTGAGTATTATATTTGTTTCAATAATATATTCCAGGATAGATGTTGTGGGGATGCTGCTGCTTATGTAGAGCAAGGAATACGAGGATTCCATGCTATCTTGCCTATATTTATCGCCCGATTAATAATACGCCGTTGGCGTTTATCTGTGTTTCAACTCTGCTTCCTGGTTAGCCGTTGGGAAACGATCACTGTATGGAGCACTTATCATTATAGAAGAGAAACTCAAGTGGGTGAAGGTATGCTCCATAACTAGGTGAAGCTGTAGACGAAGCTCTATCTGGGGATTCGAGATGGTGCTGTCCAAGGCCGCTCCAGCGACGGTATCCAGCCCAAAGCACAGTGTCAATAACACGGAATGAAGTCGCCATAATCAACTGTTCCTCATCCATGCTTCTTCTAAAGAATTCTTCTTCTGTTGTTTGTGCTATTCTCCAAGTGTATGTTGGATGTTTTGTTAAACAAGCTAGGTAGGGTCACGTGAGCCGTCTTGAGCTTTGAACGTGAAAAGCGAAAAAAGAAGCCTTGAAAGAGCCAGGAAAAAACGTCGCGACAGAATCGGCTTCTTCTGTCTTTCAGTACGACAGTGACAAAAAACTCATATCTAGCGGTTTACACACCTCCATGGATGACTCAACCAAGGTAAGAAGCCTGGGTTAATCTGTTGTTTTGCCGCCATGCTATGTGAGGCTAACGTGAAATGCGACTTTCCAGCTCTAAGCCAAAGATTTCCCGACCTCTCTACTGGCTCGACAGGCGCAGAGCACAGGAAGCCCGTCATGGCTCCTGTTGCAGGTAATAAACGGAAGAGAGGTGATCGAACCTGGTCTGGCGACTCATCAAACGATAATCCTCGACCTTCTCCGCATCGTCCAAGCAATTTGAATCTAGCTCAACAGCAACAGCAACATCAAGGCAGAGACGGCCAGGAGGGTCGCGGGAGAGGTGGTGGCCGGAGATCCAGCCGAGGTGGCAGAAATACCAGAAGAGGGAGCGATAGCGCACATGTTCTACAGCAGCAGCTACGAGATAGCCCTGCTCCTGCGAAGCCTGTCCCCGCATCGAACGGCCATGAAGCAGAGCAAACCAAACCGAATGGCGTACCGGTCACCCAGTCTCCTATTATGCCGGTGGAAGTACAACACCAGACTGCTCTAACGAAAAAGCCCTCATACTGCTATGAGTATGTTTCCAATGATGGCATTGCGAACTGGGTTGGGGCCGGGCGGCCAGCTATGGTGGAGATTGGGACAAAAGCTCGAACGGCAGGCGACTTTCTCACTCTGTCTTCAGTATTCCAAGAACTCGTCCAGTTGGCACTCGAGGGCCGTGCATCGCCTCACGACCTGGGAAGCACAGTGCGTGTTATTATCGGTGACACTGAGAACATAGAGTCAACTCTAGATCCACGATCTATATTCCTTGATACCCTTTCTATCCTAACCGAAACAGAACCATCTAATCCTAACCTTCGCCCCTTTATCTTTGCAACAGGTATCCCTTCTGATATCATGCGGGTTCAGTTGGAAACCCCTCTTCTTCAATCCCTTGGTTTGATCCGTGACACTTTCGCCCGTATGGGAATTCGAAAACAGACAAACCTCTCTACCGACAGTCGAACTATAATCTATTACGAGAGAGTCGGAAGGATACTCGAAACTTCTGACCGA